ACTGCCCCATGTGGTTTTCCAGGCTGTATTCTTTACTGGAGCAGATTGCTAGGTCTCTCTCCATGGAGCCACTCCTGTTGTTAATGCCATCCAGTTGGTTTCAACTTATAGTGGTCCTATGTAGGGATTCCAAGCAACAGTTGGTGGGTTTGAACTGCTGACCTTTGATTCACAGTTGAGTGCAGATCCTATATTGCCACACCAGGCATCCATGGAGCCACTGGGAGGGCTTGATCCACCAACCTTTTGGTTAGCAGCCAAACACTTAACAGACACTTGGGAGACCCTCTATAAATGTTGGTGGCAACCTCAGCTCTGATTTCTTGCATAGTGAACAGCTGTCCTGCTATCTTTGGTTGTTGTTTTCTTTGGTGACACTTGTTAAAACATGCCTTTTGTAGAGCTGGGAAATTGATTAGGTCCTAGATTTCCTCTTAGCAACAAGCCACCTGCGGTGTCAGTAGCCATCTCCAACATAATCCACTCCTTAGCCAGGAATATGCTTTACATTGAATACACTTTGTAATTGGAAGATTTTTGCCACAGAACCTATGGTAGTGAGCTCTTCTGGTACACTAAACTGGACCCTCCCAGAGGATCTATATTATCACGATTAGTCATTACAAAGGTCTCAGCAAGCCTACAGGACACGCTGAAGCTAGGGATAGTCTTTCAGAGTTATCGTAAGGGGCAGTTGAAGTAGCTTGAGCCAAAGCAAGCTGAGTGACTTTCGTACCTCATTCCAGACGCTCACCCAAATACTGCCCCTCAGGAGTGGGAAGTTAAGTTTAAGGAAGAGAAAAAGTGAATTGCTCCCCAAAGCTTGAAAATGAGGGTCTGAGCCTCTCACCTAAATGGCACGTGCCTTCCTGCCAGTCATGAGGAGGCTGTTGGCTTTGCTTTTTATCTGTCAAGTATTTCTGTCTGGTTGTGGATATGGAAAGTGAATTACCACCTGTTAGTAAGCCTGTCTGTAGAATACCACATTCTTGTACACCTACCTTTTTCCTGTTTCCAATTACTGTTATCAGTACACATGTCATCACTTTCCTCTTCTTCAGTTAACATTTTGTAATTTATATTTAAGCAGTACTTAAGATGTAATTCAGCTAACAACATCAAAGCATTAGACAAAGTACTCCATCTTAAAAGATAAACACTCTTTTTTATATATCTACATATTTTTACACTGGCCATAGTAAGAGCTGTCAGGAGTATTTACTTTCATCCTGTTGCTGTTATTAAGAATGTAAGTAAACAATTTCATTCAGGAAATGTAAATGTTTCAGAGTAATCCTCAGTCTTTTGTTTTTGTCAATTAATATGTGTTTACATCAATTTTTATGAACTGGAGTAATTTGTACTTAAGGAAAAAATTGGTTAAAATAGTAGAGACAGAGAAAGAAACTGTGAAAAGAGTCTATATTTAGCCATTGCATATTTCATAATTGGTCAGACTAGTTTAGAACAACTGTGTTGCTTGTTATTCTAGGTGATATCATATTATTTAAAGATATAACAACGATATTTTGTGAACTGGGATTTCTATTGCTTTGTGAAGCCCTAATGGGCCCTCGGCTCTCCTGTTCTGTTTTCCTTTTGTGTGGCTTTCAGGAGATCATATGATTCTATTGAGGTTCACACGTCATCATCAATAGTGTTTGTCTTCCCTTCCCAGTATTTGTCTTTCCTCTCCACTGATTTGTCTTTAAAATGGCTTTGAAATAATCTGGGTGTAAGGCCTGTACTTAAATATGTTTTGGTATTGATTAAATTTTAAGGGAAGATGGTGTATTTCTAACCTACGTATTTCTGAGAAAAGAGCGACTCACAAATGGTTTTGAAATTGGAGGCGTGGAGGATATGAAAACTCATAGTTGCTTCCAGTTTAGCAGATTTGGTTGGTGGCTGTAGAGCATCCCTGGGCTGTGATTAAGAGAATTATAGTAGGAAAAAAATTGATGTAATTGGCATCCTAGCAGCGATATACCTTGGGAATACCTGCCTTAGATTAAATATAAATGGCTGCAACTATTTAGTCCAGACAGAAATGCTTAGAACAACAATGCAAGTACATCATTAGATGTACTTGAGACAGCTGTTATTGAAGGTTTGGTGTGGTTCTTGCAGTGACTTTTACTGCGCTTTCATTCTTTTGACTAGATCACTAAAACTGAATTAGCCATCATTTATTATTGGCATAGCATAAACTGTAAACACTGAACCAAAGATTCTGTCCTTCTTTAAAGGGCATGGGTGCAAAAGTATGCAGTTTTAATGAGACTGCTTCCCATTGTTGTTGTTAGGTCCCATCGAGTCGGTACCAACTCACAGCAACCTTATGTACAGCAGAACGAAACACTGCCTAGTCCTGATTGGCAAAGTGGCAGCATCAGTGAGCTCAAGCGTGGCAACAATAGTGAGATTGCTTTCCATTATATGCATCAAAATTACACTATGAGGGTGCTGAAGATAATCTTAAAGAGGTTTAAAAATTAGGTGGAACAAAAATTCTAAACATTGGTTTATTAGCTCTAAATATTAAATGTTTAAGGCAACTCACAAAGACTAGAAATAAAACCTGTAACTAGCAAATCAATCTGCATGGCATTTATTACCTTCCCTGGTGGCACTGGGCTTCAAACCTACCAGCCGTTCTGCAGGAGGAAGAGAAGTCTGTCTGCCTCCAATAAAGACTTACAGGAGTGTGGCGCTGTCAGATAAGACTTGACCACAAGTTCAGTATAAACTGCAACGGTGGATGTTCAAATCCACCAGCCACTCCTCTAAAACGCTGTACAGGGCTGCTAGGAGTCGGAACCAAGTCACTGATACTTAATAACTACAGCAGCAACCTATGTAGGGTTGCCATGAGTCAGGATCGATCAGTGGCAGTGGGTTTGGAATATTTCGAAATACACTCCAAAGGAGGCCAGGTGGTGCTGCAGGTTACACAGTGAGCTGCTAACCACAAGCTTGGCTGTTCTAACCCACCAACATCTCTGTAGGAGAAAAATGAGCTAGCTATCTGTTCCTATAAAGATTTATAGTTTCAGAACCCCTGGTTTTGTAATCTGCTCCAAAAGGTGCCCTGGTAGTACTTGAGTTAAGCGTTAGGTTGCTACTAAAAGGCAGTTTGAACTCACTGGCTGCTCTGCATGAGAAAGATAGGCACTTTGCTCCTGTAAATATCTCAACGTTGGAAACTCTAGGGAGTAGTTTTACTCGGTCCTTTAAGGTCACATTGAGTTGTAATTGACTTGGTGAGAATGAATGTGGTTTAATTGGAATGTATTAATTAATTCTATGATTATGTGTTTGTCATTCCCACTGTAATATAATGTTTTTTCCTTGATTTGTTCACTGATTTATCTTCAATGCCTAGAAAAATGTCTTGGTGTTGAGGATAAATAATAGCCACTTGTATTGTTGCTAAGTGCCATCGAGTTGGTTCCAACTTATAGCAATCCTGTCTAGGGTTTCTGAGGAGTGACTGATTAGTAAATATTTATTGAATAGACAAATGAGAGGATTAATAGTTGGTAAGGATGTGGGAAAATAGGAACGCTCATACGCCATTGAAATTATGAGTATAAATTGATAAAAACTACTTTGAAGAACAATTTGATAACGTTTAATAAAGTGGATCATACCACTCAATTGTACTACTTCCTTCTCGTTACTTACTTTGAGAAACACATATGTAAGGCCATTTGGGCTGCCAAAAGAATCCATAGATCTGTTTTGGAAGAAGTGCAGCCAGAGTGCTCCTTGGAGGCCAAGATGGCCAAACTTCGTCTCTCATACTTAGGACATATTGTCAGGAGGGACCACTCACTTTTGAAGGATATCATGTTTGGTAAGGTGGAGGGACAAAGAAAAAGAGGAAGACCCCCAACAAGATGGATTGGCCAAGTGGCAGCATTGATGAACTCAAGCGTGGCAACAGTAGTGAGATTGGCCCAGGTTCGGGCAGTGTTTCTGTACATAAGGTCTGCTGTACATAAGGTCGTTATGGGTCAGTACCGACTTGATGGCACCTAACAACAACAAAAAGTAATTATGTTCAAGAATGTTTTCTAAAATGTTGGTAATAAGAAAAAAATGGAGACAATGTAAATGTTTATTGGTTGGAAAATGGATCAATTATTCATGAAGTAATTAACTGCATCGCTGGTATGTTTCTTGACTGGAATACTGTAGTTAAAAGTGAATGAAGTAGATTTACATATGTCATCATGCATTACTTAAAAAATACCATTCAGTGAAAAAAATTAGTTGCAAAAGGATGTATGTGTATGTATAGCTTGCCACTTAGATAAATTTTGTCAATTCAAAACATTAAACATTAACATTAAACATAAGTTTTGTTGCATTAGATTTAGTAAAGATTCATTTTGCTATCTAAGCCTCTGCTATTTGATATTGAAAAAGAAACCTACAAAAGCACAGGCCTACCATCCCCAACATCAATGTCCTTAGTGCTAGAAGTGACTAAGGATGTTCATAAACAGGCCATAAAATAAATACTTGTTAACAGGATTCATCTGAACCACTATGGACATCTTTGCAACCACACCCATTTTCCAAATGCCTACTCATCATTTGCAGATTTTTAAGTATGTGTAGCCAATGACGAAATCTTAAAGTCAAGGATATTGATATTCACAGTGACAGATTGCATGTGTTTCCGCTTAAAAAACAGACTAGAAAGTTAATGAAAATCACATTGAAGTCATTATGACATTCAGTTATGTCTGCTGGTATTTTCTACTAATATGTGCTATGCTTTGTTAAAACAAACCCTGATTAAGATTTAAAAAGTGAAAATATTTAAATTGATGTTCATCTTTTTTTTTCTGATAATTTATCAAGTAATATATTTGGTGTAAAAGTAATGCACTTAAGGTTAATCTTTCTTTTTCATTTAATATTAAACAGTGCTCTGACAAAGAATAAATTCTAATCCACCCCTTACCCTGTCCTCGTTTTCTTCATAGTTATCTGACGATGGTCGCTATGTCTTATTATCAATCAGGGAGGGCTGTGATCCAGTGAACCGACTTTGGTACTGTGACCTACAGCAGGAATCAAAGGGCATCACTGGTAAGTTCTCTTTCAGATACATGTCATTTATTCCAGAAGCTTCATTCGCAAGCAGTTATTCTGATCTTCAAATGAATTTCCCAAGAAGCCTTCTTCCATTCTACCACATCATCTCATTTTTGTGATTTTTTTCTTTCCCCCAACACTATTCTGTAAAGTAAAGGAAAATTGAGCAAAGTTAACTCTTGACTTTGGCATTCACTCTATTAATTTAGGCTACCCTGTTTTTTGTATCTGAGTGTGAAAATATCCTGAGTATCCCAGGGACGCTGACCTTTTGGTCTGGAAAGGTTTATCACTGTCTTAAAGAAATGGTGCAAACTGCCGAGTGAAAGGGATGCATTGGACCAGTGAGGAGTCACCAGATTGGCATGTGTCTGCACCACAGCACCTTATTTTTGAGCCTGTGCACAGGAATAGTTGAATTGGCTTCCTGAAGCTGTGTGTATTGTGATGGTAAACCTGGAACCAGCCTACAGTAACGGAATTCTGAAGCTGGTTCATGTTAAATGCTGTGCTCTTCAGCTGCTTTATTGTAACAGCTCAAAAATTCATTCTCATTAAAAAAAAAAAAAAAGTTGTCACCATTCTCAAGAATTATTGCTATTCAGCGAGCACCACTCGCTATTAAAAATACTCACACCCAAAAACTCTCAGACACCTGCTGGCACCCAGAGAAGTACACTAATTAAAGTATATCATGTCTGGCTAATATAAAAGAAATGTATTTTGAGATTGTTGACACAGATTTTCCAATTACAACAGTCAGCACTTTCCTCAAATAATTTTTTTACTTCAGTATTGGTATCTAATCTGTATTACAGTGTGACTATGGAAATATTGGTATCTAATCTGTATTACAGTGTGACTATGGAAATGTCTGATTGTGAGTTGCATCATTTAAAAATGTCTCTGAGCCAGGATTGCATCCTAACATTCTTAGATACTGTAAAGCATTATGTATCCACAGCAGGCTGAAGACAGCAACTTTTATTATTGTGTTAAATATACACCTAGGTAATAAGGTATCTTTTGTTTTCTGTTAAGGAAAGAAAGGATATAACCATTTCAATTCCAGGAAAATGGCATGACCCAAATCAGTGTTCATATTCTCTAATAGCAGCAAACTACCACCCAAGAATTATTCACTCAAGTAGCAAGTCTAGATCAACATGTTGTCATTGTTAAGTGCTGTGGAGTTGGTTCTGACTCAGCAACCCTGTATAGGCTAGACCCAAGAAGCTAGTGACTAGAAGACTCTAATTTTATATTATGATAGTTTATACTCTTTGATGGCCTGGCGATTCAGCTATGATTTTCATCTTTTTCTCTCTTGAAAACATTTTTCAATCATCAGCATATTTTTCTTATTTTTATCTCTCAAGCAAACCTATCTACAGTATAAAAGGAGAAGTACCATCAAGTGATGAATGATAATTTAGAATAGTAGAAAAAGGCAGCACACATAGTAGAAAAAGCAAAGCTACATAAATAAAGGATGAAAAAAAAATCTTAGAATCTTGAGTGTTAAAAGAGATCGCTTTGTCATTGAAATTTGAATTTATGTTCTCTGACTTTCCGACCATCTTTGTACTTGCTTCTTTCCTGTTCTCCCATGCCTCTCTGCACCCTCATTTCCCATGTACATTTCAGTGTTTTTACTTAAGAATAAGGTGAACACTTTGGTTATAAATTCAGGGCCATATTTTCCTTTCCATAGTAAGTACAGTTGAAACTGGTGGTTGCTTCTTTCTGATCAGGCGATTCCCATGACTTACCTCACTCACAATCCTATACAAATGGTACCTGTCAACCAGTCATATCATCTATGCTTTCACAGTTTCTGGCTCTCTCCAAAGAATACTGTAACTCTGCATCCCAATCGCCAGAGAAACGATTTCTTGCCTGAAGGAGAAAAGGATTTCTCCTCCATAGCTTATCACACTTCTTCAGGCTATAAGCCGATACTCTCTTACTCTAGGTCCCTGATGTCACAATTGGTTTGCACTCAACTACTGATCAAAAGTTTGGTGGTTCAAATCTACCTAGCAAAAGGAAGGCATAGTGGGGTGATCTGCTTCCATAAGATTCATTGCCTAGAAAATCCTGTGCACTGCAGTTCTATTCTGAAGCACCTGTGTTGCCAGAAGTCCAAATCAACTCAATGGCAACTGGTTTTTCTGTCTACAATTGTTCCTAATACTTCTTTCCCCTCCTCTGATTTCTGTTTCTCACCATTTGTTGTTGTTAGTGCCATCAAGTTGGTACCGACCCATAGCGACCTTATGCACGGTAGAACGAAACACTGCCTGATCCTGAGCCAACCTCACTACTGTTGCCACGCTTGAATCCATTGATGCTTGCCACTTGGGTAATCCAGTTTGTTGGGGGTCTTCCTCTTTTTCTCTGACCCTCCACCTTACCAAACACGATATCTTTCTCCAACGAGTGGTCCCTCCTGACAATATGTCTAAAGAATGAGAGACGAAGTTTGGCCATCTTGGCCTCCAAGGAGCCCTCTGGCTGCACTTCTTCCAAAAACCGATCTATTGGTTCTTTTGGCAGCCCGTGGCACTTTCAAAATTCTCCTCCAACACCATAACTCAAAAGTATCATTCTTCTACGATCTTTCCTATTCACTGTCCAGCATCAAATCTGTTCTTCATATTTTGGCTCTCGTGGACTTGTTTTCATTTTCTTCAGTTTCAGTTTGAATTTGCATATGAGTAATTGATGGTCTGTTCCACAGTCTGCCCCTGGCCTTGTTTTGACTGATGATATGGAGCTTTTCCATCATCTCTTTCCGCAGATGTAGTCAATTTGATTTCTTTGTATTCCATCTGGTGAGGTCCATGTGTAGTTGTCTCTTATGCTATCTAAAGAAGATATTTGAAATTATTTTTCACCATACAAAAGGCAAAAACGCTTTGTGTGAGGATTTGTACGTTGCATGAGAGCAGGGGCCTTGTCTGCTTTCTTCAGAATCCCTGCCCCTAGAGCAGTGCCTGATGTATTTAGAGTAGGTGTGCATCACCTGGATCTTGGGTGCCTGTACTTGTCCCTCTAAAAAACGCTATGCTTAGGTGGCCCGCCTCCTCTTGGAATCATTGATTTACTTGTGAGCATTTTGAATCATTCCTCTCCTCTTGCCTCCTAAGTTTTTAAATTAAATCTGTCCTTTATTAAACAATGAAAATGATGAATAGTTATAGACAGGCTTCCTCAGACCTAAATGCTGCATAAGTAGATTTCTGCTTTTTCTTTTGTTTCTTTCTGTACCTTCTTTAAAACAAAAAAAAATGAAGAGCTATCGGTACAATTAAGGACACCAGGCTAGCATGACATTTTATTAGTTCTGCTGTAGAAAAGGCAGCTGGGCCTTGACTGATTATTAATGTGATTCATGCCTGCCGATTAGTTGAAATTAACCATCCTGAATTTTTCAAGAAAATTATTTATGTCTGGATTTTTTTGTTTGTTTGTTATACTTTTGTACTTTTCTAAGTCAGCATTTCTTTTGAATTTTTCTATGCACACACACACAGGGAGCTTCAAAGCGTTCCTGGAAGAATGGACTTAAAAGATGATAGAATGTTTCCACAAACTTTTTGGAACCTCTTATGTTGTGTTCCTGGCTAAGAGCAGTCAGTAGTAACTGCACATCTCTGGTCTCAGACTAGTGGCGACTGCACTTCATATGGACCAGTCTGCGGACTGATTGCTTCCTTTAGTCTTTGGTTTTCTTCACTGTCTGCTTCAAAAGGGAAGAGACCAGTTGTTACATCTTAGCTCACAAGTATTTGAGTCCCCAAATGCTATTTACTAAAATAGGATGTTAGTACATTAATGTACATTATGTAGTACATTAATGAAGTTTTCAACACTCATCATGTCTCCATTTAAATGCTTTCATATCATTAAAGAAAATAGGTTTTCTTCTGCGTAAGAAATTAATCTACACTACTTGGTGGCACATAACCATAAAAGGAAGCTCAGTATTTGTTGGGCACTTAAATTCTTCATTCAGCCTTCTGGCTAATGTGAGGTGGATGATCTCTTGTCTCTAAGTAGCTGAGACAATATTGATTCCGTTGTCATGTCTGATAGGCTAGGCCTCCTTTGAGGTTAGTGTGGAAAGGGGAAGATAAACATTAAAGAAGCTTTAAACAAATCATTTTCCCAAAGCTTAGCAAAGTCATCAGTATTGCAAAAGCCAGGTCAAGAATGGCAGAGGGACCTGTGAGACACAAGAGCTGTTATTAGACAATTTTGTGTGTTCCAGAGTGGGGATGCAAAAATACACAACCAAAATCAAACCGGGGACATCAAAAGACAAAATAAAATAAGAAGCAAAAAATGAATCTTGATGTGAAATGAAAAGTGCCAGTGTAAAGTCACTGGTGGTGGTAGCGTGCCATGGAGTTGGTTCCAACTTCTAGGGACCCTATGTAGGGTTTCCAGGGAGAGGCTGGTGGGTTTGAATTGCTGACCTTGCGGTTAGCAGTTCCGTGCTGATCCTACACCAGGACTGGTGCCAAATCATGTTCTAATGCTGCAGGGGACAGAGGCTGTTGGGCTGAAATGACCTTCCATCTCACTCTGCCACGTGACAAAGGTTAGAACATAGACTTGGAAGTCAACTTGACATGAGTCTAAATCTTTAGATGGCATTAGGAAAGCGAAGTGACCGTTAGTCTCCGTTTCCTGTGGATAGTACTACTACTAAGATGACTAAAGGAAATTATCTACCTTTGGAGCTGTGGATCTGCCACACCGAAAATGCAAAATAAACGACATTTACTTTTATTCCAGCTAAACCTGGAAATTCTTCAAAGGACAAAGACAAACTCATTGTGGCGTCTTTGAATGGTATGAGGAACTAATAGTGAACTTTTTGAGATCTGATTCTTATCTCTCATAGCACACAATCACTTCACAGAAAAGCTCTTGCAATCATTAATTTAAAACTTGGTGTAAGTAATGATTTTATAGGGACTGCG